ATTCCATATTGCTCATGAGAGCCTGTGTTGCACTGTTGCCAATTTTACCTATCAATATTATGGAACAATCCAGTGGAAAGACTGGCAGCCCAGTAAATTTAATCAATATTTGCAGTATTACATCTTTTTTTTTTTTTGGTAGGAGTTATTTGCAGATATTGCAAGAAATATAGGTTACAGTTAAGACTTTTTGCCCTCTTCTCCCCACCCATCTTCCTCATGGGTCACAAAGCCTTCCTTCCCTTCCATAGTGTAGTAAGATGGCACAGTGAATAGAGAACTGAGCCTGGAGTCAGAAAGATCTGAGTTCAAATTCAGATCAGATACTTACTAGCTGTGTGAACCTGAGCAAGTCACTTAACCTCTCTCTGTCTCAGTTTTCTCAGCTGTAAACTAGGGGCAATAATAGCACCTGCTTCCCAGGGTTGTTTTGAGGGTTACGTGAGATAATATTTGCAAACTGCTTAGCACAGCACCTAGCACACACTAGGCACTTACATTCCCTTCCCCCTTCCCTTCCATAGTTATCCACAGTGGAATGTTATGGAAGCATGACAGTGACATTAATGGTATTTAAAAAACCCCCAAACCCAAGATCTTTTCTGAAACTGTATAATATTTGTTCCATGAAGTGGAAAAGAAGAGCAGTAAGCTTTGCACAAGCATGTGAGTGATTCCCGGGGGATCTCAGTATAACAAAAATCATCCCCCCCAAAAAAATCTTAGTTTTCAAACCAGTCAAATAACATGTTCGACTGAAAATGATGTCCTGATTGATTTGAAGTTAAATTTTAGAGCTCATTAAAATGTAAGAAAGCAGAAGATATAAAATTTTATTTCAGAATGAAAATATTTTTATGTTTTAGTTCCTATTAAACTTGTCTGGTATGCGTTACATTAAAAAGGAAAAAAAAACCCTTGCTTTTGCTGATTCTTTTCAGGTGTTCCATCTAAACAACCTTGTGTCCATATGGGGAAGGTGTTCCCACAGAGCAGAATCCTTCCCTTAGCTCCTGGATCCCTTTGCTGACCCCCTTTAATATACAGTTTTCCGTTAATTCTAGCAGATTTTTGGCTTGTTCTGCCTTTACTATAATTACATTCATGCCGAATAAGTCACATGCATGTCATGCTTCACCCGAAATAGCTATACAATCATTGTAGAAATGTCCATATCTATGGTTATGTCTGAATTCTGTGAATAGATGGGTGGTCTACACAATGAACTTCTCAAAGGGCCCTTATGCCTTGTTGAATATATTAAAAGAGAGATTGGTTACTTTATTTCCAGCTCATCAAGAATGAAAACACAGATGGCATCATGAGGATGTAAAATAAGGGGATTAGCATTACATAGTAGAACTCTCATTTTTGGTTGCTAACAAGCTGGGCTTATTTGTCCTTAAATGAAAACAACCTTTTCAATCCTAGAACACACAGCTTGAGGGAGTACCAAAGATAGTGAGGGGCTTATTTTAACCTGGAGTGCTGTGGTTTATGTACGTACTTGTCTTCTGTGGTATAGTTTATGCGTCTCAAATTCTAATGGACTGTGCCTTCCGTGAGAGTTCAAAAGTGGTATGGAAGGCCAAGGGTTGAGTAAGTGAGTGAGTGTGTGTGTGTGTGTGTGTGTGTGTGTGTGTGTGTGTGTGGGAAGAGGTCCTCAGGATGTGCCTATTGGGTTATAATGGATGAAGGACTGAACTCTAAGGGGGGTGAAAGACAGCCATCATGATTCGGGCCTAACATATACTTTTGATTTTTATTTTTCCTAGGCATTCTTTAGTGTTCGGGATCCTACACTTAACTCTTTTTGATACAACAAACTGAAAATGGATCCCTAAAAAGCCATTTATATTGAATGAATTCTCCCATAGGTATCATTCAATTTTGTGTTCTGTTGGTTTGATTCAAGCCATGAACAGTTTAGCTTCAGCCTCAATTAGTGGAATCAACTATTATTTGTAAGGCTTTTACTGTTATGGTTTCTGCAGTTATGTAACAAATATTTACCTTGGGTTTTATTAATGGGAAATTTCATAGTAAACCTTTGTTAACCATTGTGTAGATGTGGGGTAGAACATGTTCTCTTAATGTGGTCTTGTGTCGCAACCTTGTGGTATAAAATATATTTTAATAGGATTTAGAGTTGAAAAGCACCTTAATAGGAATTTATCTCAACCAGGGCTTTTTAAACTTTTTCTACTTGTGACACCTTTTCCCATTTTTGAAGTGTTTGTTGGCATTTCGTGGTGTGAGGGCATGCACAGTGCAGAGTGTGCGTGCTTTGTGTTCAGAGCCACGGTGCATGATACAACACGGCAAAACAATACCAAAACACCTCAGATTCATTATGGGTTTGGCTTTTAATTAATTTTTGGTCGTTGTGCATTCAGAAATCTTTTACTCTTGCCAAATCTTTTCCTCTTGCCAAATTTTTACTCTTGCCAAATGCAACTTGCTCTGTTACACTTGAACTCAACTCTTTTTAAAAAAAAAATGATGCATTTTTAATATCTTAGTAATATCCTGATATTTTACCTCTACGACCACATGTAACCTTCCCTCGAAACAAATAAAAACAGTTAAGTAATCTGGACTGGTAGATAGATCGTGTCTGATAACAAATATAACATTCCGTTCCCATAGTCCTCCATTTCTACCAAAAGGAGGAAAACACGTTCCATCATCTGTTTGCTCTCTCAGACCAAAACTGTGAACTCAGGTCTTTTGACTTTAAGCCCAATATTCTTTCCCACCACACTACAGTTGCTTATTTTAGTTCATTAAGAAAATCATTACTAACCTTGGATGTGATTATTGGGTCTGTAAAGGCTCTAGCCTTGGGCCTTGCTGACCCATAATCAACTCACCAATCACTGGTTTTGCCTTTTGGCACCATTCTAGGGTGCTTTTTGCTCCCGGACTTTCACCTTTAACTGACCCTGATGACCGAATCTCCAACTTAATTCAAGGGGCCCCTTTGTCTTTCTGGGCCTTGAAGTTCAGCGTGTACCACACCCTCAGTACTAATTACTGGTCCCCTTTCTGCCATTGCTAATGTAGATTGGTACCCATGTTGCTCTCTGAGTTCCTCTTTCCTTTTATCTCCATGTTGGCCCATATTCTAGACCACAAAAGTGTGTTTTCTAAGACCTAATTTGCCAAAGGGAAAGAGAAAATAGGAATTCAGAGAGACTATCCTGAGGGAGGAAATTAAAATAAAAGTTTGCATAAAAAGAAAACTATCAGGCTGAGGGGAACTTATATCTTAACCATCTAAGATTCCCTAACTTGGCTTAGTCAGGCATCTCCTCAGGAAGGCTGAATTTGGGATTAGTCCTCCCCTCATTGCTTGGTGGGGTTCATTCGTGATTCAATGCTTTTGTCTCACACTCTCAGCTTCAAGATTAAATGGATTTCTGATGGGCCCATGTTACTCCATTCAAATAGAGGGAGACAATAGAAAGAACCATCACATCAAGGTTTTTTTTTTCTTTTCCCCATCACTACAAAAATAAGAGCAATTCAATCTGAAAAAGAAATTAACTCTCAAAGTATACCAGATAATCCCTTTTCTTGTTCTGTCTCATGCCTTCAGATCTCATCAGGTGCCATGTCCTCTCTAACACTTCCCCTTGGGTTCCTCCTCTTCCCCTGGTTATTACTGCCCAATTTCTCCTGTACTATACTTACTTGCATCTATTTCATGGACCCCCAGTGGAATGTAAGCTCATTGAGCACAGGGACTTTTTTTTATCTTCATGTCGCAGTCTATCAACCAACTTAGCACAAAGTAGGTGTTTAATAAATGCTTGTTGAATTGAATTGACATTCTGATGCAGACTTTCTTTTTTTCTAAACTTCAAAATGTTTTGACTAATACAGGCCCTAGGCCAAATTATGAAGGAGATTCTGGAGTGGCGTTGCAGCCCCTTCACTCCCCTGTCTTGTGCCTCCCACGCGTCTGGCGAGTTCTTGCTGCCTCCTGGCTTCTCAGGAGCCATCCTGCTTGGGCTGGCCCTTGCTTGGGAGCTTGTCCTTTTGTTCTAAAATGTCTTGGACTCCTTTCCCTCCTTAGACCTTATCTAGTCTGATCTTAATGTCCCAGTCTTTGAAGTTTCTGCTAGGAGGCTGTCTAATCTGATCAAGCACTTTCCACAAATGGGCTTGTGAAATCCATCAGAGACCTTTGACTGTCAGAGTAGTAACTAATATTGATAGTTTCCACATCTGTAAAATACCACTTTACCTCCCTCACAGAGGTAATGTGTGAAAAGTGCTTTGTAAAAAGTAAACTGAACTAATAATAATAATGAGGAGGAGGAGGAGGATGCTGTTGATGATAATAGTAAGATCTTGGACGCGTTTGCAGAGAGACTGTTTCTAGGGAAACCTTTTAGGATTTGTCAAATCAGGACAGGTAGGCAGCTACTGACAGGCAAGAGTGACCTTGACTAGGGTCAATTTTACTAGTTAGTTGGCCTTTTTAAATTTTGTGTTTAGTAACTGCTGAATGGGAAAGTGACTATTAGATAATGGTTTTCTTTTTATCCTTCCTTCCTTGCCTCCCTCTTTCCTTCCTTCCTTCTTTTCTTCTTTCCCTCTCCTTCTTTCTTTGTTTCTTTCTTTGTTTCTTCCTTTCTCTCTTCTTTTCTCCCTTCCTTCCTCTTTCCCTTTCTCTTTTCCTTCCTTCCTTTCCTTCTTTTTTACTTTTCCCTCTTTCCCTCTCCCTCCCTCCCTTTCTCTCTCTTTTTTTCTTCCTCTCTCCCTTCCTTCCTTCTTTCCTTCCTTTAATGCATTTTTGTGGGATCCTTGCCATTGGATGCAATATATTTCCTAGTTAAGGGTTCTTGTCCTTGTCATTGTGGGTCCAAAGAAGTCCATCACAGAGTGGTCAGACTTTATCATTGTTTAACATAACAACATGTGGGCTCTTTATATGTGATTCAGTTGGCAACTTCTGTTTCAATATGTGCATTTCATTTCTTGTCTTTTAGATCTCTTTGGATGAAAGATGCATGCTGACTGTAGGTGCTAATGCATCTGAGAGGACTGAAAGATATGCTTCATCACTGCTACCTAGTGTTTCTGCAAGGTGAGTCACATCATTAATGTTTGGTGAATACAACACTGTGCTAATTGGCAGAAAATACTATTATTGCTACTATTACTAGCTAGCATTCATATTCTTTAAGGTTTGCAAAGTGCTTTAAATATGTTAACTACTTGATTCTCACAATAACCCTAGGGAATAGGTACTATTAATATTCTCATTTTACAATTGAAGAAACTGAGGAACATAGAGGTTAAGTGACTTGTCCAGGGTCACATAGCTAGCAAGTGTCTGAAGCAGAATTTGAACTCAAGTCCTCCTGATTCCCAGTCCTATATTCTCTCTACTACACTACCCAGTTGCCCTTCTTTAACTTTCTTTACTTCATTTGTTCTATTAAGAATCTGGCATGTATTAAATGAGATGCATCCAGGCATATGTAGATTAAGTGTTGATTTTTGGAGTCAGGAAGACCTGGGTTTAAGTCCTGCCTATTGGACTAACTGTGTAACCATAGACAAATTACTTAGCCTCCTAGGTTCCCAAGGTCACTTTCTCAGACTGTAAGTTCCAAACAGGTGGCCAATCTGCATTGGTAGAGAGAATTCCCACAATTATGGGTGAACACAAAGTTCAAGACCAGAGCAAAACAAACTGTGTTAAATAGAACATATCTTAAGAAAAAGTGACCTTCAGAGAGGCTAATTTCTTTTCTTTTCCTTTCTTTTCTTTTTTTTTTCTTTTTTTCTTTTTTGGTGAGGCTATTGGGGTTAAGTGACTTGACCAAGGTCACACAGCTAGTAAGTGTTAAGTGTCTGAGGCTGGATTTGAACTCAGGTCCTCCTGACTCCAAGACCAGGCTCTATTCACTGTGACACCTAGCTGCTCCAGCTAGTTTCAAATTATGTGGAAATATTGATTGTTGGTAACCTAGCCTAGATTTTCTTCTAGATGCAAGCTCAATCTTCATTATTACTGCTGCCAGGTCAGTAGGAAGGAATATTGATTTTGCTTGTTGGTTATTTTGGGCAGTGCAGGCTGATAGGTTTCTGCAATCAAGATGGGAATTTGGAGCTACTTAGGGGCCCAGTGGATTTTTTGCTATGAGTGACTTTTATACTGGTAGAGATGGGAGGGGGAAGGGACTTGGGTGTGTTGTTATAGAGGTATTTTTGGTCATCTGCATCCTGCTAGTTTAAAACACAGCTACCAGTGTTGTGATTTGCCAAATCAGAAGCATTCCAAAAAACAGCCATAGTAGCATTTTGATGAGACACAAAGAAACTGGAATGTTGTCACATTCATAGAGAATGACAGAAACTGACCACTTGTGGGTGTACTTTCTCCATATGACAGATCAGTGACTCTGCAGTTTCTGTTGATTTGAATGTCACAGATCTTGTCCCCAGACCACACTGAGTGATTTTGGTAACAGAAGGAACTTACTAAGAGGTGACGGTAGAATAATTCACACCAAAGAGACAGGAATGAAGATGTGTAGTCAAGGGATTCACAAACATTCAGAGAGAGCTGGCCAGCCAAGTGTGTTCTATAAAGTGGGAGAAATCCTTCAGAGTCACAGAATCTCAGAGTTTGAAGAGTTCAAGGAGCTCAAACTGTACTTGAACAAGTACCACCTCAACAACAGTCCTAGTAAGTGGTCATCCTGCCTTTGCCCAGAGACCTCCAGGGAGGAACAGCCCCTCTACCTTCTGAAACAGCTTGTTCCACTTTTCAATAGCTATATGTTAGGAAACTTTTCTTTATATTGAACTAAAATCTGTCTCTGCACCTTCCACCCATTGCCCCCATTTCTGTCTTCTGAGGCCAATCACCCACCCACCCAACCAGCATTTATTCATTGTAACAGTGAGATTAAATTTAATTTCTGTTCCACATGGCAGTTCAATAAATACGATCCAATCTTTTCTTTGCTGACTCTTTGCATCTTTTAAGATGAACTCATTCAATAAGCACAAACATTTACTTTGTGGATGACACTGTAAAGTACTGGGGGAGTTAACTTTCAGCAAATAATCATCTATGTTCTTCCAACTAAGCCTGAGTATTTCTCAAGGTTCTATCCAAATCCCTCCTCTTTCTCCACATTCTGTCCTTTGATCTCGTCCACATCCATGGGGTTGATTATTAAGTTTACATAGTTGACTTTCATTTCTATGTCCACCCCTAAGCTCAATCCTGCATTACCTGCTGTTACATCAAATTTAACATGTCTGAAACTGAACTCATCATCTTTCCCCTAATATACATCTCTTCCAAATTTCCCTAGACCTGTTGAGGGTATCACAATCTTTCCAGGTACCTCAGAATCAACTTTGTTGGGTTTTTTTTCCCTCTCCTTTGTATCCAGTCAAGTCTCATCAATTTTATCCCACAGTATCTCTCCCATTTGTTCCCTTCTTTCCACTCACCAGGCCAATGGTTCAGGCCTTCAGCACCTCTTGATTGAACTATTGTAATCACATCCTAATTGGTTTCCCTGCTTCCTTTCTCTTTGCTCTTCCATCTAACCTCCACAGATTTGCCAAAATAATCATCTAAAACAGGAGTTTTAAATTATTTTTGTGTTAGGAGCCCTTTGGCAGTCAGGTGAAGCCTTACAGATGTTAACTCAGAAGCATGTTTCTAAATGCCTAAAATAAAATGTATAGGATTATGAGGGAAACTAATTATATTGAAATAATCATCAAAATACTAAGAATAAAACTCAGTTTATGGATCCTAGATTAAGAACTCCTGTTCTAAAGACATAGGATCAACCATATATCTCCGCCCTACTCAACGATTTTTAGTGCCTCTAGGGTAAAATGTAAGCTCTCCAACTTGACTTTTAAGGACTTTACATTCTCTGGCTCTTATACCTTTTAAGACTCATTTCACATTATTTCCCTCTATGCATTCTACCTTCTAGTCCACATTCTATGTATACCTTTAGTGGCACGTGGTAAGTGCTTAATAAATATGATCCTCCCCCCCCTCCCCTCCTTTTCCCCCTTTCGTCCTCTCTTCCTTTCTCCTTCTCTCCCTCTCCCTCTATTTTACTTTCTCCCAAACCCTGTCCCCATCTCTCTCCTTTCCCTCTTCCTCTCTTTTCTTCTCTCTCTCTTTCTTCCTTCTTCCCTCTCTCTCCTTCCCTCTTCCCATTTTCCTCTCTCCTCTCTTCTTCCTCTCTCTTTACCTCTCTCCCTTCTCTTTCTCCCCTCCCCCTCCTCACCTTCCCTCTCTTGTTCTTGTTCTTCTTCCTCCTTTCCTTTTTCTCCTCCACCTTCTTCCTTCCTTCCTTCTTTCCTGCCTTCCTCTTCCCCTTCTTATCCTTTCTTCACAGAAATTGGACTATTAGCTATCCCCTGAACCTTACAGGTCATCTCCAGTATCTGTGCATTTTCAAAAGTTGTTCCCCATGCCTGGAATGTTCTCCTTCCACAACTCCCCCTCTTGATATTCCTAGCTTCCTTCAAGCTTTAGTTACTTTGCTAAAGATGCCACCTGCTAATGAAGGCCCATACTGCTTCCTCCAGTTTGTGTTTTCTTCCTCCTTAAAGTATTTTGTATGTAATTCTCTGAGTATATGTTGGATCCCTCCAGCAGAACATAAGCTCTTTGAGAGCATAGACTTCATTTTTTTGGGGGGGGGGAGGGCTAGGCAATGGGGTTAAGTGACTTACCCAGGGTCACACAGCTAGTAAGTGTTATGTGTCTGAGACTGGATTTGAACTCAGGTTCTCCTGAATCCAGGGCTGATGCTCTATTCACTGCACCACCTAGCTGCCCCCCCAAAGATTTCATTTTTGTCTTTGTATGGTCACAGCCTTACATAGTAAGTAATGCTTACACAAAGCAGTTGCCTAATAAGTGTTCATTGAATTGTTCTGAATTCAGTTCAGGATACCTGCCCTCAAATAGCTCATAGAAAAGCTAAGACATGAACATAAAAACAGTTCAAAATAAAATATGAAAAGGCATAAGAGAAGTATAAACAAGGTTCTATGAAGTTAATAGGAGGTAGAAAATCCCTTGCTAGGGATTTGTTCAAGGACAGTTTTATGGAGAAGGTGGTGTTTGAACTGAGTTTTGAGGATGGGTAGAATTCCAAAAACCAAATAACCTGTAGAAAGTATACATTTAAACAGGATTAGCTGCAACCATAATAATCAGTGACTACCTCTGCAGTGAGTAATTAATACCCAGTGAGAGGTGACAATGAATGACTGGAAGAGGAGGAGAATGAGTCAGGAAGGTAGAAAGAAGCCCTGATAAGGAAGGTAGGAGATGACCAAAAATAAGCTTGTAATTTGAGGGCATGAGAGCAAGAAGAGATCATTAGCCCACCCTTCTCACTTTCAGATGAGATAACTAAGACTCAAAAAAGGTAAAGTGACCCATCCAAGGTCATACGTAAGCAGAATTAGACAGGTCCAATCTAGTAAGCATTTATTAAGTGTTTACTATATGTCAAGTACTGTAATTACAAAGACAAAATGAAAAATGGTTTCTGCCATCGAGGAACTTACATTTTTCTGGGGGTACAACATATAAACAGTCAAGTTTGTACACAATAATGGAAAATACACAAAATGGGCATATTAGGTATACCCCCTGTAGAGGACTCATGGAATGATATGAGCAAGAGCCATATGAGATAGGCAGTCATAGGTGGATTGTGGTATACATCACTGGTGAGAATACTACATTGATGAGTAAGGAGAGGTAGAAATAAGGACCATTTTGAAACTGAAAACTATTTATAAAATGTCACCCCATTCTTTTGATGCAATATTTAAATTATAATATACAATGAGAAGAATCTAGTCCTGAGTATTACCATAGAGATACCTCTGATAAAATAAGTGGTGAAAATACCAGTTGTTGGAATTTTGCCATGTGAAAGACTAATTATGAATAAGGATTTTTTATTCAGTTCTAATTTTTTAACCATAAAAATATTACACTGGAATTATAAATTGACTAGAATATAATACTTAGATAAAGTTGGACAAAAAGAGAATGAACCAGACTCTTCA